CCCTTTTGTAATCATGAAATGAACCAAACCCCATAATTTTTGTTCTTATAATAATTAATGAATATTCCCTTTCCACCCATTGATTGAGCATTACCAAATAGCTTTCACTAATTAATCTTAAACTAAAACATAATTAGAACATAATTATCCTTATAACAATCAATTTCTCAAAACCAACAACATAAATATATCTTCCTTTAATACCATTAATCTAGTAATCTATACCTAATTATGGTGCTAATTATTTTGGTATGAAAGGGTATTTTGGTCCAAATAATTATGCATTTGGTATTAATTTTGAAAAAAACCCATCTGTCATATATTCCAAGCAAGATATGTAGGTGTCCGTCACATTCATGAACTTTATTTCAAAAAAAAAAAATTAAGATGCCCTCCAAAAATAAATAAATAAATAAATGTTTCATAAATTAAAATGGTAATTAAATAATATTTTCATGTTAAAAGGGTAACCAGTAATTTTTTAGTTTTTAACGTTTTAAAATATAATCATTGATCTACTCAATACTTGTTACGACCAGTTTATACAACTCTAATACATGTTAATGAAAGTGTGTTAATACACGTCATCGATCCATTTAAAACAAAATATTTGTAAAAACTAAAATATTTGACAACCTCATTATTTATTTAAATGCACATAATTTTTGTTGGGGTCGGTATAGAAAGTTAGAGGGGTTGATGATGAAAGTGAGGATAGCAATAAAGTTCGGAATGATGATAGGATACTAATTTATATTTGGAGTTTGTAAAAGAGAAAAAGAATCTACTTCGTATCATATATTATTAGTCTCGATAGCCACCTAACTCCTTTCTTTTACACTTTCATATCAAATCTTTCACTATATGAATCTACTTCGTTGTCACCCTTTAGATTCCTACCAAGTTTCTTCCCATTTTAAAGTTTATATACAACCAAACCCTTGTGGCCACTTGGCACGCTCACAAAAAGAAGTGATGAAATGAACTTAAGGTTTAGATCTCTAATATAACATTTTTTATCCATGTACTCTAAAAGATGTATTAGTGAAATTTTAGAAAGACATACTCAATTGGAGCATAACTCTATCTAATTATAACAATATAAACTCAACCAAAAGAGTATAGATTAGAATAAATGCTTCATTTATTGTTGAACTAAATAATAATAATAATATAAACTCGTGAATATATCAAAGTTAAAAAAAAAAAAAAATATATATATATATATATATAGAGAGAGAGAGAGAGAGAGAGAGTTAATGTTTATGAGCATAGCTATTGAAGTGTAACAGTTGGCAAGGTGGTGGTGTGAGCCATAAAACAAAACAGCCTTTCCAGTCAGCAAATTCTAAATTTTCATTTTTTTTGGTACAAAGATGCTGACGTGTGGCCCCCTCACCCCATGCCTTCGACTTCCTCCCTCCACGTGGGATCCCTTCTCATTGTCCTAGTCAGCATCTTTTCTCTTCATCATTGCCATGGAATGTCTCTTCTAGGGGCTCACCTGATTCAACTTCCTTTGAAAACTCCATCTCTCCCTTTCATTGCTTCCTTACTCTCTCTCTCTCGTCTCTCCCTTTCATTGCTTCCTTACTCTCTCTCTGGTGTCTATCGACTCGATCCAATCCATTTATTGTCACTATAGACTTGATCTGACTTGACCCAACTCAACCAACTCGTCGACTCCCCCCTTGATATGACCTGACCTAACTCAATCCGTCCCAAATCACTCGCTACCCTAGTACCTAGTTGAAAATTTACATAAACGACGTTGAAAGTAAATAGTGTATGATGGGGTTTATCAACAATAAATTCATAATGTATGTATGAGTGAGATGTTAATATTATATGGAGGAGAGGGAATAAGGAAATAAAATAATGGAGGGGTTAGGCAGAAGCTTATGATTTGAGTAATTGAGAATGACCCTTAAAAAAAAGCTCATTGACTCCCACTTCCACATCACATGCATCTCTCTCTCTCTTCTTTGATGCCATCCACTTCTCCTTATTTAAGCCCCTCTCCTCCTCCCTTCATTCTCATCCTCTCCAAAGATCAAAATTCTGCTCTCCTATTCCCAAACCCCTTCAAACTTTTACTCACAATCTTCTCTAAAGAATACAAACACAACCACAGTTTCAATCAAACAAAACACCTTTGAGCTTACCTTTTTGGTGATGGAGAACTTGTTTCGTCTTGCTGATCACGACGAATTCTTCTCTCGTCGTTGCGTCTGGGTTAACGGTCCAGTGATCGTCGGAGCCGGGCCATCTGGGTTGGCCACAGCTGCTTGTCTTAGAGAACAAGGGGTGCCTTTTGTAGTCCTTGAACGAGCTGAATGCATAGCCTCGCTGTGGCAAAAGCGCACCTATGATAGGCTTAAGCTTCACCTTCCAAAGCAATTCTGCCAACTCCCAAAACTTCCATTCCCAGAAGACTTCCCTGAATACCCAACCAAGAGACAGTTCATTGAGTACCTTGAATCGTACGCCAAGCATTTTGAGATCAACCCTCAATTTAATGAGTGTGTTCAGTCAGCTAGGTACGATGAAACCAGCGGTCTGTGGCGTGTTAAGACCGTTTCAACTGCTGGTTCGATCCGTAACGAGATCGAGTACATTTGCCGGTGGCTCGTCGTTGCCACTGGCGAGAATGCTGAACGTGTAATGCCTGAAATCGAAGGATTGAACGAGTTTTGCGGCGGTGTGTCGCATGCTTGTGAATATAAGTCCGGGGAGAAGTTCACCGGAAAGAAGGTCTTGGTGGTTGGCTGTGGCAACTCGGGCATGGAAGTTTCTCTTGACTTGTGCAACCACAATGCCTCACCTTCAATGGTGGTCCGAAGCTCGGTAAGCATTAGAACCAACTAATATCATTGTTCTAACATGTTCAGCTCTATGCAATTTGAAGCTTGGATTTTGGCTCTAATGATGTTTGCTTGCTCTGTTTCCAACAGGTCCATGTCTTACCAAAAGAAGTTCTTGGAAAATCAACATTCGAACTAGCAGTTATGATGATGAAATGGCTGCCCCTCTGGCTGGTTGACAAGCTCTTATTGATCCTGGCATGGCTGGTGCTCGGAAACATTGAGAAATACGGCCTCAAACGGCCATCAATGGGACCATTGGAGCTAAAAAACGAGACGGGAAAGACCCCTGTTCTTGACCTTGGAGCATTAGCGAAAATCAAATCCGGTGACATCAAAGTAATTCCTGGAATCAAACGGTTCACACGCAACCAAGTAGAGCTCGTCAATGGCGAAAAGCTGGATGTAGATTCAGTAGTTTTGGCTACTGGGTACCGCAGCAACGTCCCCTCTTGGCTTCAGGTGAGGCAAACATTCAATTTAAACTTTTTTTTTTTTCTCATAGGAATTTCATCATACACCTGGTGGGCAAACAAATTTTTATAAAAGGTTACCGCTATTCTGAAACATGACTAACCTTAAACTGGGCATTGAACGAACAGGAAGGCGAATTGTTCTCAAAAAACGGATTCCCAAAAGCAGCATCACCACATGGGTGGAAGGGAAATGCGGGACTTTACGCAGTTGGGTTCTCGAGAAGAGGACTATCAGGGGCTTCGTCGGACGCCATGAAAATAGCTCAAGATATCGGCACCGTTTGGAAGGCGGAGACGAAGCAACAAAAGAAGAGAACCACCGCATGCCATAGACGCTGCATTTCCCAGTTCTGAAAATATCCGCCATTGATGATTTTATTTCTACACAGTGTATACATGTAAAAAAACAGATAGAAAAAAACAGAGAAACAGAGCCCGCTCCAAAGGCCCATTTTGACAAATTTGATTTGTTGGGCATTTTGTAAGACATGGAAGATGAGGCTCACTTCATTTGTTCATTGAATGTCAGTTAACATTGACAGTTCTCTCAATTGTTCTTTTCATCAACCAAAAAAAGAAAGACATTTTTGTCTAATTGTGCCATTTAGACATGTCCCATTAATCTTAATTAATGAAATGATTCATAAAATTCAAATAATTATTGATTTTGATCCAACTAAAACCTAATTTCTCTATGTTGATAAGGAACCAATGAAGAGGAATAATCTAATAGGTTTGACCCCAAAACTTAGTGAAATAATGCATGATCATTAGCCTTTGTTAAACTTAGTGAAATAATGCATGATCATTAGCCTTTGTTGGCATTGGGTTTGCACATGGAAGCTCCAATTATCACACCTTAATTTCAATTAATTAAATTTGAACCCTTTTTTTAATTTAAAAGAGCCATCTTTTTGGCTAATTTTTTGAAAACAGTTCATGACAACCACCTCTACAAACTTTTCCTTTCATTATTAGCTTCATTAGCTTCATGTTTTGTAATTTGGAAGCTTTTAACTCATTTTTTGCTTTAGTAAATTTTAAAGCATATATGTGATAAGAGTTCTGATCTGATCATGTTTTAGAAGTCAGTTTGTTACATTAAATTAACATTTTTTTGTGTAAAATTGAATGTGTTAGTTTTTGAAAGGTCCGCCTTCTTTCTTCTTCAATATCCTACATTATTTGATGTTTTTAATGTTGTTCGGGTGCGCCTACTCTTTTTATGTTTGATATATTTGTTGTTGCTTGATACATAAAGGTAAAAATTAAAATTCTTGTGGATAATTAGAAATAAATTTATGCAGATTTGAAGTAAGGATTAAAAATTTAGATAAAATTCTTGAATTAAATAAGATTAATGAATTTGTAAATAAATAAAATATTTGTATGCGAAAATAAAATAAATAATTATCCACTCCCCTCGCCATTTTTAAGGCCCAACCACAATATTTGGAAGTTATGGGCCCATAAGGGTCCAAACATGGAATGAAGAGAACCCTTGAAGGTGAATCCTTTCAATGGGCCAGAAGAATTAGACTCCGTAATGGGCCATGGCCCATTATGGGCCCATTACGGAGTCTAATTCTTCTTGTAGTTTTTATAGCCGAAGAGATTATAAAAAAAGGACCTTTAAATACATCACATTCTATAAAAATATTTCAAGTCGGTGCAGAAAGGGAGCAAAAAAAATTCTTCTACCCGTACGTAATTCCCTTCTTCTTTTTCACTATCCCGGGTACTGGCCGAATCTCCGTGCCACTTTACCGGCGATGTTTCCGGCCACTCTCCCGGCTCTGACCTGACTACTTTTCAACCTTTCAGTCGCACTCTCTGTGGAATGCTTCTGTAAGTGTCAGAATGTTGGTTGGTTCTTTATCCCGCCGCTACTGTGTAGTTCTTCTGCATTTTTCTGTTCCTCTTTTGATCTCTCGTTTTCCGAATCTCTTCTGCTTCTCTGCTGTTTTCGAATCTCATTCTCTTTCTGTCTCATGTAATTGCAGCTTTTCCTTTTTTTTTTTTTTTTTTTTCCTTTCCTTGCTAAATTTTGAAACTAGATTATCCATTTCTATCTTTATACTTGTTCCTTTTTAGTTTCCGGAGTAAATTGTGGTTTCGAATCTACTTACTGCTAATTGCAAGTCAGCTTTGGTGTTTAATCTTGGGATTGCGGTTACTGATTGCAGGGTTTTGGGTCTTTCTTCTGCTAATGGTACTCATTCTGCTGTTTTGCTGTTTCTTTTAGGGGAAATTCTTGATTCTGGAGCTTTTTATAATCCGATTTTAAACATCCAGTTGAATTTTTGGCTCTTTGAGACCTCGATCAGTGATGTAATTCGATTTTTTTTTCTTTTTTTTGGGGTTTATCGTGCTGTGACGTAAGAACTGATGTGATGCTTCGTGTGATCATGCAGAACTTTCCGTCTGCATTGCTTATTCCTTCTTTCTGTGTCGATTGGATGAATGGCTTCTTTCTCTCTTTGAATATTCTCCTCTCTCCCGCCCTTTCTCGCTTCTTCTCTCTGTGTGTTCATATCCATGGTCATTGGCTTCTTCCTTCTTGAAACTTGGGATCTTACCTTTCAAATTTGCCCCCCCCCCCCCCCCCCNCTCTCTCGCTCTCAAGGTTGAAGCCTGCAACTAGAAACTTTAAGGTGCGAAACTACCCCCTGAACTTTTTCCCGTTTGTTTTTTCTTTATTGTGAAATTATGGAACATACGCTCTGTTCTTCTTGAAGAAAGTAGTTAATTTACTTTTATTTTCAGTGTTTTAATGAAGGAAGTTCAAAGAAGAACAGCCCGTAATAAAATGGAAAAACCTTTCCCTGGATGCTTGGGAAGAATGGTAAACCTGTTTGACTTGGGTGCAGGCGTTAGTAGGAACAAGCTTCTGACGGATAAGCCGCATCGTGACGGTGACTTCCCTTTTTCTTATGTTTTTTGCTCTAGGACTTTTGTCTCTGATCATATTCCCCGTTGTCATTTTCGAAATTTTTATAATTTCTTCTTTGAAGGTTTGACTGTGTGCTACTAGTGCGAGGCGCTAATGCGAATCATTCTTAGTCCAAATCTTGTTCTTAGTTTTATTGGTGTTTTTCCCTTAAATCCTGGTTTTCTGTGCACACGCGTGAATGTCAAACTTGATTGCCTTCTCAAATGGTGTTTGCTTGTGAATTTGTTGCCTCATATGGTTTTGCCAAGTTTCAAACTTTAAAGCTTAATTGGTGCCATATGGAGGATGTGTTGTAAATTGTCATAAGTTTTGATTTGATTTGGTTAGGTTATTTGGATTAGATTTGATAACCTTGGTTATTTGGATTAGATTTGATTTGGTTATTTGAATTAGATTTAGTCTCCGTCGGAGATTTGATTCTGTAATGCTATATAATGAGAGAGTTCTCCCTCCATTCCGGATATCCACTCCTAACAAGTGGTATCGGGATTTGGGAGAGTTTTAGGTGTCACATTGTATTTGTTGAGTGACACATTTGTGAGAATTTGGGAGAGTTTTGGGTGTCACATCGTATTTGTTGAGTGACACATTGGTGAGAATTTGGGAGAGTTTTGAGTGTCACATCGTATTTGTTGAGTGACATATTGGTGAGAGTCTTCGTAGTGTGATAATGAGGTATTCACTTGTAACACTTGGTTTATTAGTGATTGGTTGCTATCCGTGGATGTAGGGGAACTTCTTCGCTCCGAACCACGTAAATATCTTGGTGTCTCTTTGTGTGATTCTGTTTATTGGTATTGTGAGTACATTCGTTTCGCTTCCGGTGCACAACAGGATGCACTGTTTATGGTACTCTTCTCCTTCACTAATCCTTAACTAATTGTATCAAATTGGCCAATAAAAAAAATTAGTTTGCTCTGGGTTGTGTTTATTCATGCATTACACATTGCAGGAGTATCGTGCCCACATAAAAAAAGTAAAAAAAACAAAAAAAACAAAAAATTTAGCATAGGATATGGTTAAAAAAAATCTTTTTTTCGTGTATTTTTTGTAATGTTTAAAGCTTCTCCTTCTGATGCCCTTGGAATAACCAGTGTTCTTTTCTGTCAGTTGTTGTGTTTATTAGTAAAGCGATAATTGTTGATATTGACATGCTTCTTTGCAGGTTCTGTACTCCCAAGAAGTCACTCAGATGCAGTAATTATGACGAGTTCTTCACTTGACAGTCACATAGAGGATGGACTGGTAAATTGTTTGCAGGCTTTGTTAACAGTGATGTGTATTGTATAAAGCATGAAAAATTGTTGCACTGCATGTCCATTTTCTACACGATGTTTGGATTTTTGTTTTACTTTTTTAGTTGTGTAAAAAGTTTGTTTTATTACTGCATTGCAGGGTCACTCAATTGGGAAGGCAAATCAAACGCCCATGAAGATGCTCATAGACCAGGAGATGTCAAAAGAGGCTGAGTTTAAGATTTCTTCCCCAAATGTTGTTGCAAAGTTGATGGGGCTAGATACTTTGCCAGAGCAGCCTGGTTCAGCTGCTTATAAAACACCTTCAAGAGGTTCCCCATGTATAGTTAAAGAATCTAGGTTGCCACTAGAACGTATAGAACAAGTTGATGACTGTTTGGAGAAGGGCGCCCTGTGTGAAATTCATCAAAGCTCCGTAGACGTTTATGAAATATGGCAGCAAAGTTTGAAAACAAATTATGATAGAAAAAAGTTGCATTATGGAAATTTTGACAAAAATATTGATGAAAAAAAGATTGCCCTTGTTCGTCAAAAATTCACTGAAGCAAAACGTATGGCTACAGATGAGAAACTTAGGCAATCTAAAGAATTCCAAGATGCCTTAGAAGTTCTGAGCTCCAATAAGGAATCGTTTGTCAAATTATTGCAAGAACCAAATTCCTTGTTTTCTCAGCGTAGTTTTCAACTTTGTTCACTTCCTACATCTCCTGAGAAGACGTGCATCACTATCCTTAGGCCCTCAAATTTAGTTAGCACTGAAAAAAAATTTGGGACGGGGAAAAGATGTGAGAATCAGATGAGAAAACCGACTCAGGTCTGCCATTCCACTGCACGTGACAAGCCCAGTAATGTGCCTACTTTTTCAAACCAGAGAGTTGATGAATATGTTCAACCCACACGAATAGTGGTATTGAAGCCTAACATTGGTAAGAATCATGGTGTTAAAACTGTGGGAACTCAACAAGCTAGTTCATCACCTGATAAAACCTCTGGAAATTTTGATGAGGAAGCTGAGGGTGTCGAGGTGCCAGAATTAGGGGAAGCTGCAACGGAGATTTCTGAACAGTTGAGTGAAGGTCAAATGGGACATCAAAGGGATGAAACTTTGATTTCTTCTGTCTTTTCTAATGGTTATACTGGTGATGAGAGTTCATTTTACAAGTCAGAGAATGAGTATGCAGGGAGGGATCTCAGTGACTTAGAATTAATGTCACCGTCTTCCAGGCATTCTTGGGATTATGTTAACAAATTTGATAGCCCTTATTCTATTTCTTCCTTCAGCCGTGTTTCGTGTTCTCCAGAGTCATTGGTTTGCCGTGAAGCCAAGAAGCGTCTCTCTGAAAGATGGTCAACGATCACATCAAATGCCAATTCTCACGAACCGAGGCATGTAAGGAGAAGCTCTAGTACATTGGGTGAGATGCTCTCTTTGTCAGATCCAAAAAAGTCCATCGAATCTATTGATCAGATAACCAATGAGGAAGAAAAGCGGAGGGAGTTCGCATCCTGCTTAAGTACTGACTTCAGTAAGGAAGAGATTGAAAACTCTCCTAGAAGTCTCCAGAGGTCAAAGTCTGCACCAGTATCTCCTTTGATGTCACGTGGCAGACTAGGTTTTGAAGCTCCAAAGTCTGCTACGACAGATGTTATCCCAGAGAAAACTCATCCGACAAAGGTTAAATCATCATTTAAAGGAAAAATTTCTAGTTTATTCTTCTCCAGGAATAAGAAACTGAACAAAGAAAAACAAAATGCATTTTGTAAAGAGGAATTGGATACTTCTGTTGTGGGAATACTTGGAGCCTCTCCACCTCCTGGCAGGGTTGGTGATAATGCATCTTGTGTCAACAATACTCAACTTGAAGAATGCTCATTCTCTGCTCTGTGTAGATCATCAGAGACGTCTCCGGATTTAACCAACACATTGGGCGTGGTCTCTCTTGAGGTAATTTATCTTCTTATAGACGATTTGGCTCCGTTCAGTAATTACTTCCTCAGAAGTATCATTTTAGGCAAGGTTGTCATATTCATCTGTTCTTTTCATGAACATTAAGATTTCCCCCACTCTTTTGTGTTTTCTGATTTTTCTTCCTGAGGTTGTCTACCTACTTAGTTACCATGTGCCAGGGCATTATTCTAACTGTTAAGAATGGTTGGTTAACGTTTGTTATAGGCTTTGGTTATGAGTTCAGAGCCACTTAAGAATCCCTCATATGATCTGGGACTTGATGAATGTTGAATAAATATTTGTAATAAGAACAGAGATTGAAGTGGTATTCTGTTATGCTTTGTTGTGGAAAAAAACATGGTGACTGGATTTCTGATTGTCAATGCTCTATATGGAGTTGAGAAATTCAAAGTTTTCAAATTGAAAATCCAATAATTAATGGCATCTAATTGTTCCAGCCTCTGGTAGGCCGTTGGTCTTTGTTACTCTCAGTAATGTTGAAGCACTAAGTAGCCTAGGTCTTCATGCGTGGTGAATAGAAGCTTAATGCATTATTGCTGGCTTTTTCTTCCAGTAATTTGTGAAGTATTCTCTCTTTTTTTGAATAACTTGCTGAAGAACTAAATTTAAATTTTGTAGGCTGGGTTGCCTTTTGCAAGAAATTTGATGCCAGGAAATGCCAGTGAGAACCTGGACAATCCGTGTCCATGCTCTGTTTTTGAACCACTATTTGATGAGGATGACTTCGAGATGTGCTCGTCTTCTGGCCATATGAAGCCAGACATCAGAGGTACTCATACTCTCTCTAGCTATCCATCGATGTATCAGACTGAGCTATACTGAATTTATTTTCGAAGTTTGATCTCAGAATGATTAATTAGTGTCAAAAGTGTCCTTGAAATATGGGTCAATTTTACTTTGTAGCAGTAGCACAAAATTTGTCGTTTGACCTATCTTTAATATACTGTCTAGAGTATGCTATTTCTTGACTTGCCTATTTTTCCAGGAATTCAAGTGCCTACGAAGTCCAACTTAATTGACAAATCGCCTCCCATAGAGTCCATTTTTCGGACTAGGACATGGGAAAATAAATATTCAGAAAACACAGATCCATATTTGGTTAAACCCTCGTTAGCATGTGAAGATACAGAAAATGAGGAACAAAAGTGGCTCGGCCTTGTCAAAACTCTGCTCTCAGCCAATGGCCTCGATGACAGTGTGCAGTGCAACTCATTTTTCTCAAGATGGCATTCTCTCGATTATCCATTGGATCCATCACTAAGAGACAAGTTTGCCAACCTAAGTGCTAAAGAGCCAGAACAGGAGGCGAAACAAAGGCAATCCAGTTCAAACTGGAAGCTCATATTTGACAGCGTCAATGCCATCCTGGTCGATATTGCAGGATTTCGGTTGGATAGGAGCACAATGGCAATGTCTTACAACTGGGTAAATGCTGATGCTCCCTCACAAGCTTTGGTGGACAGTGTGTGGGACAGATTGAAGGATTGGCTATCGTGCGAAACACATTGTGTTGGTTTTGAGATTGGGGACATTAACAGCCTGGTGGTAGAGAGGATGGTTCGGAAGGAGGTTGTGGGGAAGAGCTGGATTCAGCAATTACAAGAGGAAATGGATGATTTAGGGAAGGAAATAGAAGGGAAATTGCTGGAAGAACTTGTGGAAGAGGTGCTGCTTAATTTGACAGGTTTCTGCCCATGACCAACCTTTCTCTTTTGTTCTCATTATAATATATTATAGTTTTTCATATACAGCCCCAAATAATCTCTGCCATTTTTATTATGTGCATTCTACCATCCCTACACCTACTCCCTTTTTGCTGTACATTTTTCTGTCGAAACTGCATATTCCTCTGCTTTTTTCCCCTCTCTCTTTCATAGACATAAAATAACTACCGTCAATAGAATCATTTTCACTCAGTTTTCCTACTGTTTGTTCTTCTTATTCCTCGTTTCTCTGCCTACTTCTTCTCTCTCTACTCTTTGAGTTCAACATTAAATAGTTAGCATTAATTATTAATTCTTTCATTCTCATTCTTAAGTTAACATTTGTCTTTAACTTATGCTTGGCTTTTATTTTGGTCTCGATAGTTTTTGGAAGAACTATAGTTTTGAAAGTTCTAAAGCATCTACCAACTATATATATTTTTATCCTAGGTCCCCTACTTAGCACCTACTTAGCATTTAATATCCTATTCGCAACCAAATACAATAGGGTCAACTGGTTGTCTTGTGAGATTAGTCCATATGTGAACAATTTGGCCACACTCAAGGATGTATATATATATATATATATATTAGACTTGGTAAGGGCATGCCAGGGATGCAAACATAAGTTTCACATTACCAAGGAAGAAAAAGCATGTGTGGTAGTGACATTTTGGAGGTTCTAAATTAGAACTGAGCACATGCTAGTAGTTGGGAGTTGGGATATGAACTTTGGTGTTGTCAAATGGCAGGCAAATCCATATGCAACACAAGGGGTCATATGGATACGAAATCACAGATAAAAATATGAAGTTTGGAAGTTGGAATGAAAATGGTTGCAAAGCAACGTGGAAGGCAAGGTGACCCCATTTCATTAATTCATTAGGTAACAACATCTGTAGCTTCACACATGTGCTGTCTCCATTCTACTTTAATTCCTACTGGCTCTTCTGTCCCATCCAACTATACTCCATACACTAATCTATATATGTACTCTTTTAATAACTCTGAGTACCATGCCAAAAACTTGCTTTATAATTGTACAAATCTAGCGCAGGAATGACCGTTTAAAGTTTATAGGCGGTAAAATGATATTAAAAGTGTCAAACCCGAGTACATATTTGGCATGATTGAGGTTTGATGTTATAGTGTACAAGTCTTATGTTGTGCTGTTCTGATCCTATAAACTTGTTCAATGTTCAGAAGAAAATGAGGAAGAACGGAAATATTGCTGCTACATTGAAACCAGTCACCTGTACCATGTCCAGCAGAGGACGAATTGAGATGTGCTGCTACTCTGGAACCAATCACAAAGAGCCAGCATGACTACCTCTGGATAAAGCAGGTTTGTATTGATACCGTAGAAATAATAGTATAAAGTTTGTGGAGGGTAAAATTGTATAGATAGCCAACTTGAATAGTTCAACATGGTTCAACTAATATAGGTTTAATATTCAAATTCTATATCCGTTGTTGGGATTATAATATAAAACACTTGGAAATTGTGATATAATACTTTAAAGAAGTAAAAAGAATGAATGTGATAAATGATAGAAAAAAAGTTGATTTGTTTTTTTTTTTGGAACAATTTGATTTTCTTTTTTTCCTTTTTTGTAACAAAAAGTTCTGTTCTTCCACATGAATGTTGCGACTAAATGATAAAAGGTTAATTAAGCATGCATAACAGTCTGTACCATTCAACTTATGTTATGTAATCTTGGATACCATCGAAATCATCCTGAACAACTGCTTTCTTTTCTTTTTTCTGTTTGTCTGTTCAATACTTTATAAGGTTCGACGGCTAGTTGTTCTACGAGATTAGTCGAAATGTACGTAAGTTAGTCTAGAAACTCACGGGTATAAAGAAAAATATAATCTCATAGTAGATTGCTTTTTGGTAGTTATGAAGTTTTTGAGTGTGCATAATTTTATTTTTGTGGTTCTTTTTTTTGTTTTGATCTTTTAGGAAATTGTAAGTTGTAACCAGGGACGACCTCCATAACCCTTTTAGACTTTGCAATCCCTAGAATCGTGTTTTTTCTATTTTCAAATTTCATATTATCTTATTAATGATTGGTTCGGAGTTGTATCAATTATTGGTTCGGAGTTGGATCAATTATAAGGCACTGACCCCGAAACTCTTATGAGGGGTAGCAATAATGGGCCAAAGTTTTTAGGATTGGATATGGTGTACTGATTGAAGGTTTTTTCGGTAGGGCAAGGAAGAAAGGCTGCTGCTACCCATCAATGTCCATACTAAAAGTTCATCTTTATCCTCTGGTCATGAAAAGAAAAAGGTGATAAATGGCTCCCAACCTGCAACTAGTAAGTGAACATGGGATGCTTCTTTTTAATATTATATATATACACATCTCGACTAACCTCGTGCAAAATCGTCTAAATGATAGTGTAACGACTTATGTTTAGGATTTAATCTTATACAAAATTGTCGAAGTGACAATATAACAATTCATACCTTATATTTTTCAAGTAAGTTCTACGTACAAAAATTGAATTGAGAGATATGACTTATTGAAGTACTTTTATATTGATTGATCATTCTTACAAATGTAATGTGATCATGTTGCAGAGAATGTTGAGGTTATCAAATGTTGAATCTAAATGAGTCGTTATAAAAATAGTTTAGACACTATTTTTAAAAGTTTAAATATCTAGAAACACCGAAATATGTGTAGACCCGTCAGTAGAAAGGATTTAAGGGAGAGTTCAAAAATAATTTTGTAATAAGTTATTTGGTCACAAATCATAATTGTCTTATCCCAATTTGGACCTTCATAATTCCAACAACAAGATGCCATTCTTATTGTCCTATTCAAATATTATTTTCCTTTCTTTTTTCTTTTAGAGTTGTTGGAAAGTCTCTAATAGTTCTAATAATTCCTCTCCACCTAATTGTAATTGTGTTGAGAATTATGACCTCCAAATTAACTCTTCCATCAAGAATTACCTCTATCCACTCAAGTTCAAATCACATGTCCAAATCACACGTCCGAAAGTTCTAGATACTTCGTTTATGTAAGATATGCACCTTTATTTAACATTAGAGGATGCTCAACATAACTTCTTCTAGTATTTGTTATATAATGGATTATTTTTAGGTGTAGATGTATTCTAAAGTAGCACGAACTAGGAAGAGTCTTGATATGGAGGGGGACGTACAAGTACTCGAAGGGAAGAGAGTTGAGATAGACACGAATCCAAGCCCGAAATGAAAACTAACTTGAAGTAGGAAAAGGTGTGAAGCAGCTCAGTGTTTTTAAAGATTGATGAAGATATAATTGAGTCAACTAAGCTGCTTTCTTGTTTTAAACTTTATGAATCAAATCGTCTAGCAACTATGAGTTAAGGTTAAACGAACTAATTTCGTCGGTCCATTGTTTTCCATTTACAAACATTTTTCCCCAATGAGATGGAGAAAAAAGCAAGAAAATGTGAAAGGTGTAGGGATCTTTTTTCTTTTTTCTTTTTTGTTTTTAGATCAACAACATTTGGAGTAGATTTGGAGAAACCTACTGAAAACTATGGTTGAATGGGTAAATTGGATTTTTTTTTTCTTTTGCTACAATCATCACTTCCTAAATGACAATTCAACCAACCCTTTTCATTTGGTGCAACTTATCTTCAACTCCAACTAATCTTCATTCATGATTTTGTTTGAGATTATCGATATGAAAGCCAAAGAGTTGGTTGCCTGTTCTTTTTAATATCCTTTTAAATACCAAATTTGGTAGAGTGCTAATTTTCTTTTGGACTAGTTGTTCGAGAGTTCAATATTATAATCAAAATTATGCATCATTTAACGAGAATGTTAAAAGAGACTATGAAGATCCATAACAGCTCATGTTCTAACTAGGATTAGTACAATAGCTGAAAGTAGGACAGGCAATACGTACTTCGATCCTTTGATCTTGTTACTTTTAAAACAAACGGCTTAGGGTTTATTAGTTGGACTTTTCCTACTCCGATTGAATTATTCATTTAAGTGAATTTTGAGAAAATAATCGAGAAAGTTCGATCTAGGGTTTTGACCCTCCTCCGGTTGTACTAATCTGGGGCAGTGAGTTGGCCTTTATCTAACTTTCTTCTTTCTATTTGTCATGTACTCATTTAGGATTGGTTGATCTGCAAACTTCTTTTAGTAGCTTGACATTGAAAATACAACATTTTTTTGAAAACCTTGCAGCTTTATGGTTCTCGATAACCAACTGCATCAGTATGGCTACCTTTGTTCCTATCAATTCTCACAACTATTTAATGTTTTTGTTTCTAAAATCATTTTTACATCACAAGACGATGCCATGCAAAAATTTACGAGCTGAATCAAATTAGTTCCTAAAGAAACTAGTTCGAAATTCAAAGGTATAACTGGACTTTATACCCTCACATTTCATTAATTAAATTTGTATGTGAATATTTAATTGTAAAATTGCGATGAATGGGCTTAAAGAATCCTAGTAAATATAAATATAATTTTAATAATTTTTTTCCATTAAAAACTTATACTGCATGACGTGGTATTTATAAACAATATGATTTAGTAATAAGATGTAATTAAAAAATTTAAAACCTTGCACATTATTATAATCCAACAATTAACAATATGCTTTCGGGATAAAATAAAATATTATTTAGATTAAATTATTCAAAAGAAACACATTATTTTAATACGACAGTAGTCTCGTACACCACAATGCCAAGCTGTACATCTAACAAAATAAAAAAAATAAAATAAAAAAAGTAAAAGCTTCAACTAATTAATTTTTAATCTAATAATTTAAACTAATTTATTTATAAGAGACAATTTAGTCCATGCGGCAATTTAATTAATTTAATTTCAATATTTTAAATGAATTAATTTAATTTATATTATAAAAATCTCATCAAAATAAATTTAATTTTGTATTATATAAAGACTTAGTATTTATAATTTATGAGCCTATCGATTAAATTATTATAAATTTAAAGTATAAAGAATAAATTGTTACATATTAAAGTTAAAAACTAAATTAGTTTCTTTTATAAGATTAAAAAAAAAAAAAAAAAGGAGGGAAAGGGTGTGGGGGTGGTTGAAATCGTTAATTAGAAGCAAAAGGAGCGGTAAAAATGTAATTTCAGTCTGTCACCCACAAGAGTCCTCCACTCCACAGTCGCTCTCTCTCTCTCTCTCCCTCTCTCCATCAAAAATCTTCACTCTCTCTCTCTCTCTCCCTCTCTCCATCAAAAATCTTCACTCTCTCTCTCTCTCTCTACAAAGCCTCTCTTTTTTCTCGACTTCAATTCACTGCCACTGTTCTTCTTCTTCCCCGTTTCTCTCGTCTGCAAAGTCGACCCAGTTGGTTAAATTTGTCTGCGCTTCTATAATTTTGCGGCGGTTCGATTCCCGAATTGAATATTTCTCTTCCGTTCTTCTCGCCGGAACTCTTGTTTCCTTCATCTCCGCTACTTGCCTCCACTCTACGACTTTCATGCCACTCTCCCTCTATGTGCTGAATCCGCTACCAATTCTGGTGTATCTTGTTCAGATCTGAGACTTGGCCTGCCGGATCCGTGCTCACCAACCTCAGATATGGAGGAAGCATTGGAGCTGGCTCGTGCCAAGGACACCAAGGAGCGCATGGCCGGCGTCGAACGCCTGTATGAACTTCTCGAAGCTTCCAGAAAAAGTTTGAATTCCGCCGAGACTACGGCCTTGGTTGATTGTTGCCTCGATCTTCTCAAGGACAACAACTTTAGGGTTTCCCAGGGTGCTCTCCAGGCTTTGGCTTCTGCTGCTGTGCTCTCTGGCGAGCCTCTCAAGTTGCATTTCAATGCCCTTGTCCCCGCTGTTGTCGAGCGATTGGGTGATGCAAAGCAACCTGTGAGAGAAGCCGCAAGGAGGCTCTTGCTCACTCTTATGGAGGTACTGGATGAGCCTTTACTTCTGCGGATTTAACGATTTCAGCAATTGTTGCCGTCTATGTGGCAAATGAATCCATGAATTTGATTGAAATCTAATCACTTGTAGTCGATGTAGTTTCTTTCTTCCGAGTTCGGCCGAAATTTCTCTCCCCTATTTACAAGAACTTAGATATTTCATTGCGTTCTGTGTACTCAAATGATCTTTAATCGGGTCGTGATAGTGCATCCTAGGAATGGTTACAGTATTTTCTTTGATTGTTTGGGTATCGAGCTCTTTTATCCGTTCTTGGCCTTAAAGCTTATTTAGTAGGCCCAGATTTGTTGATGCTTAGAACCAGCAAATTACACCTTGTGTTGGCTACATATTCATTAACCAATATCATTTCCCATTAATTTTGATCGGCGGCTATGGGTTTTTTATCAAGTCTTCGACGTAAGAATAATCTGTGTCAATCTCTGTCTATCCTTACTGTTCACATGTAGGTTGCAAATATGGCCATATGACCATAGAATACTAAGGTCGACTTACCTCCCTGATCGCAGTCAAAAAAATTTCAGGTGGCAGTTATCTTAGTGAACTTTTTATTTTTCCTTTTTAATGGGGGGTGTAAGTGTCCCCTCCTAACATTATTAATTCTATGAAGGAGCTATTGCCGCTTTTCGCGGTTTCTGTAAGATAGACTGATATATGTATCTCTTGTACTGTTAGTTCAAGGCTAATCTTTGTTTTTTTATATGGCAGGGCGAGATTTAAGTAG